CAAACCCACGCCCTGCAATGTTCATCTGGACGGGGTTGACAGGGCTTCCACCGAGGAGCTCAACCTTCTCATTCCTGGGCAGTTCTTTGTAACAGGTGAGCCAGGGGGGGAATCCCGGGGGAGGATTTTCTGCTGGGCCCTGAGCACCCTTCTCGCACAACCACCCCCACTGCGTGGAGTGGAACTCATTACCACCCTCCAGGAGGGCGTAGCACTGCCCTGGAGGGTTTCTGAGGCTGTAAGCCTGTTTTGTGTTGTTTTTTTTAACAGTTTTTAAATACTTCATCCACGTATCACAGCATTCAATAGTTCAATCATATCAAGAATTGTACAATCAAGAATGTACTTCTTTATGGCAGGTCGACGGCCGCGATCTTTCTTCCACAGAGCAGCAGGTGGGCTCAAAGCACCAACCTTTGGGTTAGCAGCGGAGCGCTTTAACCACCGAGCCACCAGGGCTCCTTCAAACAGGAGCGAAACCAAAAGCCAAACTCACTAGCGCGACCCTACAGGGCGAGGCTCGTCCAACTGCCCCTGTGAGTGCCGGAGACCGCACCTGCGGATGGGCGTAGAAAGCCTGGCCTTTCTCCCGCGGAGCTTCTGGTGGTTGCAAACAGCCCGGTACGGAATCCCTCCGCCACCAAGGAGCATGGCATTCACCAAGTCCTGCCGCAATCCACACCCGAGGGAGCAGAGGCCCAGGCTGGAGAAGGTCAGCGCGCTTGTCCAAAGTAAGACAAGAAGCCAAGGTGGGTTGGGCCTGGATTACAGGGCCACAGAGACACCTGTGCTATGAGACTGCGTGCCTTATTGGCAGAGCCCCAAAGGACTGACCAGGCATGTCCTGGACGCGGGTCTGCTCGCAGCACGCACAGGACTGACCGCCAACCCTTGGAGTGGAGTTGGCATCTGGAAAGTGGCGCTGACGACCACAGGAGCCTCTTGGGGACGCTGTGCGGGAATGCCAGGCCTAACGTAAGGAAGCCGCCTTGATCCTCCAGCCGGTTCCCACTCTGGACGACCGCATGTGTGCAGGGCGGAGCTGCCCGGGAGGGTCTTCATGACTGCCCTCTTGGGGAAGCAGATGGCCAGACCTTTCTTCCTAGGCACTTCTGCAAGGATTTGAATTGCCAGCGCTACAGGTGACGCAGAACCCAAAGCAAAACCCACGGAGCCTATTTCCACTCAGAGCCACCTGATACAGCTTGTCCGAGGCTGTGGATCTTTACGGGAGCAGACAGCCTCATTTTTCTCCCACAGAGAAGCTGGTGGGTTTGAACCACCAACTTGGAGGCCAGCGGTCCAGCGCTGAGGACAGCACTACAGGTGTTTGTATCACTGGCTCAGTCAAGCTACTTGCAGGGCAAACTGTTCTGAGGTTCAGCGCCCCTCCTTCCTAGAGGCAGACCTGTGGGGAGCAGTTTCTCCTCTTTAGGTTTTTCCAGCTCAGGAATCTCTAATCCCCTGGCTTTCTCTACCCCCATCTCCCTCAAACACACCCAGCACGTTCCTCTCCCTCCCCCTTGAGAAAGCCCATTAGCGGCAGCAGCAGCTGAGCCACACAGAGATGGGGCAGCTCTGGGGGCTTAAGGGAAATAGTGTGAATGAAATCATCACCCAGCGGGAGTCTTCCTGGCTCCGGGGATCAGTTGGCAATTGTTTTTTTAGACTGTGATAATGGGCCCCTAAGGGATGGGGGCTTGGGGTGGGGGTGGGGTGCTTGAGAGGCCCGGGAGCACCTGGTTCCCAGCCACACAGCTCTGCAAGACCCCCTGCCCAAGGCCCACTTTGCAGCCAGGGCCACCTGGCCCTTGGATTTCTGAAGGAGAGTGTCCCACCCAGATGCTATGGGGATGGGGAGGCTTAGAACAGACTTCTGGAAGAGAAGCCCCCTTTCCCTGGATTCTGCTCATTGAGGGGCCCCACACCGCTCATAAGCCCACGGGTCCTCTTTTACCAGGACTTGCCTAAATGGAGCTTCCAGGGGAGGGCTGGGTGCCCCTGTGAACGATGAGTCAACCCACCCATCAAAGAGATGGCTCCCACCATTTGCGTGGCTTCTGAAAACCTTCCCTCTGCCTCTCCTTGTTGCATCTCCCAGTCCCAGCCTCTCCAGCATGTTCCCCTTGGGAAGACAAGCCACAGGAACCCAAACTCACTGGCCTCAAGTCCTTTCCGAGTCTCAGTGACCCTAAAGGACAGGATGGACCTGCCCTGTGGTTTCTGAGGTGGTCACTCCTTACCGGAGTAGAAAGCCTCATCTTTCTCCCTTGGAGCGGCTGGTGGTTTCTAACTGCAGACCTTGCCATGAACAGTGCAACATGTAAGCACCACACCACTAGACTTCAAGTGGGAAGTGGGTAAATCCACCATAAATATGTCCCCCTTCCGCTCCCCCACATTGCATTCATTTCTAGGTCGAAGAAAATTTTAAAAGCAATCTGATTTGTTAATAAAGATGGCAATGATAAGTCCCCCCAACCCCTACACACACACACACAAAATCAAGCCTGTTGCCATGGTGTCGATTGGAACTCATGGGGACCCATTGGTGCAGGGTCAGCTTTTCCTGGCTGTCCTCTGTTGGAAATACATCACCCACTTACCCATTTACACCCCTCAGGGACACTGTGGATTCTGACTCTGGGAAATGTAAGAAAGGTTATCCAAATGCCTACTTCCTTCCAGCAGGCTTCCCTGCTGAAAAACAAACAGAACCCCTCAACCCAGACCCTAACTCAAAACCCTACGGAGGTCCCAAAGCCATCTCCCCAGATCCTAGGGCTCAACAACCCAGTGGATTCCAGGCATTGAGAGAGGGGCTGTGTAGGATCGTACACCTTCCAGTGCATCCACAGAGGGGATCCCACACCCCACAGAGGGGACTGCCCCCCTGAAGCGAAGGTTAGCGCCTAGGCTCTCTTTTGCTCTCTCTACCGCTGTCCAGGAAACTGACCAAAGCTTATCTGAGCCTTCCAAGTTCAGTGCTTTGCTTCCTCTTGCCCAACACTCAGAGGATGCTCGGGGAAGGGAGAACACCCAGGATGAGAGGATTCTCTGCTTTCTAGGTATAAGGCAGCCTGGTGCTTCCCAAACCTGCCCATGCTTCTGGGACACCGGAGAAGCTTCAGAACCAAGGCCTACCTCCAGATGCTCAGGCCCCTGTGCCAGCCTTAGTGAATGAAACTCTCTGGGGGGAGTCCCCGGGAGTTGTGTCTTTAGCGAGTTGCTGATAGGATGTTGATGGGGCCAGTTCACAGAACTCTGCCAAGACCTACAGATTTTGATCTGTCCTCCCTCCGTCCCTGTAAACTGCCCCAGAGATTGGTCTCACTTCCGGCGGCGTTTGTGATGAAGATTTGGAGGCAGGGGCTGATCCGGTCTCTTTTCTGCACCCCAGCGCCCAGCCAGGGCCTCAGTCTGTCCTCCAAGAGAGACCTGGTGGCCCACCACACTCTCCTTGTCGATAAGCCTCGTGCTCCCTCGGCGCTGCTCAGAGGGCTTCCTTTTTAGCATTCTTATTTCTGTCTTGGAAGAAGCACAGCCAGAAAGCTCCTTGGAAACAAGGCTGGTGAGACATCGTCTCACATCCTTCGGGCCTGTTATCCGGAGAGACTCATCTCTGGAGGAGGACATCGTGCCAGATAAAGTGGAGCGGCCAGGACACAAAGGAAGGCCTCGACATGATGGATTGACACGGTGGCGGCAATCAGGCTCAAACAGCAATGAGTCTGAGGACGCGGTGGGACTGGGCAGTGTGCCACTCTGTGCAGAAGGGGCCGCGAGGAGTCACCTGACTTGATGGCACCCACGAACAGCAACATTTTCGTCAAAACAATTCTGTTTCTTCAACCTTTTAAAGCGATCGTCCCAATCCACGTTTTGGAATAATCCCAATCCCAGGAAGAGAGCCGCAGAATGCGTGGATTCAAAACCACAAGCCAGGTGATGGATGTAGAAGGGGGTTGTGTTAACCCCAGGGCCAGCACCTGCCCTTCCAGGAGTGATGTATGTCAGAGGCCCAGAGGAGCGGCTGGGCAGGGGTCTAGTCAAGGGTCTGCGTGACAGGCAGGATGCCGTTCTGGCATAGGGAGTCAGAGGCCAGAGGTCTTAAAACTTTAGAATGAAATTTCAACAAATGTTGACATTGAGTAAAAATAGCCCCCACTTTATTGCCCCTGTGTAAACATGACCAAGGGGCTGAGGGCGTGGGGAGTGGGAGGAAGAGTCAGGAAGGGGTTCCTCTCGGAGACTGGGTAATGGATAGTAACCCTTTCCGCTCAGGCTGGAAGACAGGCTTGCCTTCCCGGTACCAGCTTGTGGGCCTGGATGACAGGTTGTGCCGGGTCCTACTGAGCCCAGCCATTGGGAGCCAGTGCAGCACGGTTGGCATCACAGTCTCAAGGTTGACTCCAACCTGGCTATGGTCTTGAACGTGTGCGGGATGCGACACCTATCATTTCTGTTACATGCAAGCAAGCTCTCTCTGAGTCACAGCTAACTGTGTGTCAACTGGCAGGGAGGTGTGAGCCTCAAGCACCCTCGCTTGCGTTAATGGAGTGATTCTCAACCTTCCTCATGCCGCGACCCTTTCATACAGTTCCTCATGTGGTGGTGACCCCTCAACCATAACATTATTTTTGCTGCTACCTCATCACTGTAATCTTGCTACTGTGATGAATCGGGCAACCCCTATGAATGGGTCGTTTGATCCCCCCAAGGGGGTTGCAACCCACAGGTTGAGAACCGCTGCACTAATGAGTTATGTGATATACTAGGGGGGGCTTCAAAAAAATTCGTAGGAAGGCAGAAAAAAAAATAATGGAATTTTCCCCTCAGACGTTTGGAAGGCCCCTCTAAGATCACCTGCTCAGCTCCTCCCACAGCACCCTCTTTCTCACGCTAGAGAAATAGCCTCTTCCTTGCTCAGGATGCCACATCCCCTTCAACTGTGTCTGCTCTCGCCCTTGAGCCCGGGCCTCCCGGTGTGAAGCACTCACCGTGGTGTACAATCTTCCTTTATTGTTCATGGCCACGAAGAGGCCACTTTTCACCCCGAAGAGACTCACCACACCCCGCTCCACAGTGGAAATTTCCAGCAGGCCTGTGACAACGAAACAGGGGCCGCGTTACCTGAGGCTAACGCACGCAGTTCAGAACGAGAGGCAGCCTTGTGCCCTGGGAAGAGGTCGTCTAAGTCCATCCCCCGCATCCAGAGGGCCGGCCCCTCCAGCGTCTCTGCCCTCACCCTGACGCTGGAGACAGACCTCTGCTGCTAGCCCGGCCACGTCCTGCTGCAGGAACGGGCTGGCCCCAGAGTTGGGGAGTGGGATAGCTGCTCATGTGTCTAATGGAGGTGGCCTTTGAATGTAGGCTTCCCTGACAGACTCACGGCTGGTCCCTAGCTTGGGTCAAAAAAAAGAAGATTGAGGATTCACCTTTTGTTCTGTTTTTAAAATAGATAGACTCTACGTTTCACTAAACCTAATCTTGGAAACACGGCAGCCTCACGAGAAGGTGCATGCCCGTGTCCCGGGACTCCATCCTCTCCTGGTGAGGAGAGCTTGTCCAGGCGACAGCCCGTCCGATGGTGACAGAGGGCCTTAGCCCCCCGAGGGCAGCTTGAAGGGACAGGAGCGATGCGGCTCCGCAGGAAACCTTGCAAACCACTTGTCCTTCCTTCTCCGAGAGAAGGGAGCGGAAGAAACGTTCAGCTGGTGTCTAATCCTGTCCCAGTAGTCCTGACTTGTTCTCCCCACCCTTGCTTTAAGGCTTCCCAGCGAATGGTTCCCAGGGGGCTGTGATGAGCCCGTGATGGGTCCCTGGTGGCACAGCGGTCCAGCACCTCCCTGCAATTCAAAGGTCGGCGCTGGGAACCACCATGCAGATAGGCGGAGTGGCACGCTTCTGCGAAGGCTTCACCCTCAGAAGCCTCAGGGAGGTGGGGCAGTTCTAGTCTATCTCAGGGCTTCTCTTGTGAGTGGAATGGATGACAAACAACAGTGGTGAAGCAGTTTGTGCCCCAGGGGCCCTGTGGGGTGCTGACCAGGGATGCGCAGACCTCCTAATGCAAGCATACTGTGCTTGCAGGACTAACCTGAGCTAAGGAGGTGGGGATTCTCATAAGTCCATGCGTAGTATATAGTGTATCTGTCTCCTCCACAGTCCCTGGGGGGTGCAGTTCCCACAGCCCACTGCTCATCAAATGGCTGGAGGTTCAAATCTGCCCGGAGGTGGCTCACAAGAGCTGGTGCTCCACTTCCGAATAGCCAGCCATAGAAAGCCCCCTGGCACCCAGCTACTCCCACCCTCAGGGGTCACTGTGAGTCAAAATTGACCGCAGCAGCCACCCAGTTTGCTGGCTCCCCTGGAGAGTAGGAACTAATCTCTCCACCTTTCCGCCTCAGCCCCCCAGCATCCCGGGGGGCCGCAGCTGCACTTACTGTAGGGGTTCTCCTCGTGGGTCCCGTGGATCCGGCCGTCTGGGGGCACCTGGAGGTGGAAGCCGATGCCCACGTTGCAGTAGAGCCTCCGCTGCCGCTTGATCCCTACGAGGTAGCCGCTCTCCCAGTTCACCCCAGCGATATCTCCGGCCAGCCCAGCCCGAGAGCGGGACAGCAGCGTGCCCCAGGCCCTGGAGCCCAGCAGCGTGCTGTTGGCGTGGGTGCCAGCAGGCGAGGGCACCACCATGCCCACTAGGACGCCTAGGAGGACGAGCGCCTGCAGCGTGCCCTGAGGACGTCCTGCTCCCAGGGACATAGTGAGGAACAGCCTCTGTCCCGGGGCCATCCACCTTGCCGCTCAGGCACGTGGTCAGAATTAATGGCCCTAAAAATACCGCCCTCCTTGTTTTTCTCCCCTCTGCATGGCGGCAGGGGCTTATTTTTGGAAGGCAGATGAAGGCTGCTGACATGCAACCACAGCCTGCTTCGGGCACTCGGGTCGCAAGCGCAGGGACCCAGGCTGAGCCACGGCTGGTAGGGACCATGGCTTGGGGACGCACGCTCGCCCGCCTGCTCGGTCCCGAGGTGATGATATTTGGTTTGACCTATCTTTATAGTTCAGGAGCCTGGCCCTCCCCTCCACCCATCATCACCCTGACGTCAACTGGGCCAGCTCACTGATCCAGGCCTGTAACATTAACCTGCCCCTGTGCCTGGCTGCCACCCCAGACCCCCCAGCACCCTCCTCACTCCCCCGGGGTTTCTGGGAGCCACTGTCATTCCAACCATGAGGCAGGAATGAAGTAAGCTGGGAGCACCTGGGGGTGGAGAGGGTGTCGGGGGGAGCTGGCTGGGGGCCCAGGGGAAGAGACAGGCGAGAGGCCACCCCGGACCCAAATTGGGCAGGAGTTCCTGGCCTGGCAAAGCTGGCTTCCTTATTTAGAGGGGAAGCGTAAGGACAGGGATGGACAGAGGCTTGGTGGCGGGTGATGACCACGGCCTACAAGTTCACTCTGAGAGTTTTGCATAAAAACAGCCCAGGCTTGAGGGCAAGGGAGTCAGCAGGCAAGGACAGAGATTCGAACTCCAAGGAGGGTGGGCGAGGCAGCCCCCCAGTGCCCTCTGCTCCTGAGCCTGGCCATGAGGATCCCCCAGCCAGTGGGGTGCTCATCTGTCTGGCTGTCCACCCAGCCGTCGGGCCAACTTCCTCCCTGGAATTGGCGCCGGCATCTGGCTCTTGTGCCCCCCATTTAACAGATGCGGAAGCCAAGCCTAAGAGTCACTTGAGCTCATAAACGGCCAAGTCCGAACTTTAAAAAGTGCCTGAGTCCCAAGTCCCCTTCTTTGTGATGTCAGACCTCCAGGCCGGCCTCCAAAGTCTCTGTGCCCACAGCCCACATAAGCTTATTTTGATAACACAAAACAATCAATTTGTTCACCAGACAAGGTAGAAAGTACCTTTGATGTCCACGAGAATTCCTGCCGTTGCAAACAACATTTGCTAAAAGGACATCAGGCTGACCCTAGTAAAAATATTTCTGCACCTAATTTTCTTTTCCCCAATTGCTTTTAACGAGGTCACATGTCTTACGGAGGTAACGGTCACTTAAAACAAACACCCTGCACGTTGCAGTGCAGGTACAGAGCAGAAGCCGCTGTGTCTTGACAAGGGTTACATGGCGAGTGGAGTCAAACTCTCAGGCTTACGTGCCCAGTGGTGCATGGGTAAGTGCTGGGCTGCGAACGGCAAGGTTGTAGGTTCAAACCCACCAGCTGATCCAGTGGAGGAAGAGGAGGCTGTCTGCTCCTATAAAGGTTACAGTCTCCGAAGCCCTGTATGGGGTCACTGTGCGTCCTGTGAGACTTGATGGCAGTGGATGTCTTTCAGACGGGGTCCTAATCTCTTGGTGGCATTTCAGCAGTGACTGTGTGGGGACTGGAAGGGGTGTCTTGGGGGGCGGTTGGGGGGGGGGATGTGCAGTGAGGAGCCACCCTGGCTAGTAGGTTTCCTCAGCAACACTCTACACCACCTGGCTGGGACAAGCCCCACAGTGAAGGGTCTCTTCTGGGGTCTGTGACCTCAGATAGCAGCTCTCCTGCTCTGCCCTGAGCTCCCAACTTCTGGTTTATGGTGTCTAATTGCCCGGTGCCCTTCTGCCTTGGCTCATTTGGATGGATGCTTTGGCTAGATTCTCCATTGAGACGTATATTTCTACTTCTATTTTAGATCTCCTGCAGTCTTCAGATGGTACTATGATCGAGGAGGGGCATGTGTCACTGTGCCGACTCACACCCTCACCATTGGGTTCTGTACTTGCCCTTGCTTCCTTACTCGTCCCATTGCCCCCAGGGCCTCAGCCCAACCTCAGCATCACCAGCAGCATTTCCCACACAGACACTGAGAGACTGTCACTTGGTGGGCAGAGGAGGGTCTACTGGGTAGTCCTTTGTTGAAAATTGTCTTAAAAAAGAGAGAGAGAGAGAGAGAAAGGACGAAAGGCAGGAAGGGAGGAAAAGGAGAGAGGGAGGAAGGAAGGAGTCAGGGAAACCTTTCTCTGCAGTCGGTCGTCACGAATACTCCCCAAACAAAATTGTGAGCCATAAAGATCGCCTCTTCTGATTTCCAGCTCAATGTCATGTGTTTAAGCTTTTACTTATACAAGAGGCATGGGGACACCAAAGAGAGGTTAAATTTGGAACCGTGTGTGTGCTAACTAGCTTTTGCCCGTGTGCTCACCTGGGGAGGAGGCAGCCCAGAAGCACGCTGGGTAGAAAGGAGAACCGAGTCTGCTGTGGAAACCCGCCATGGAGGTATCTAGCGTAGGCCAATGTAGAGCTACCGATGTTTGTTAGGGGCTCCCAGTGGTGGGGGGCGGAGGTGGGGAGAGGGAGGCCTTGCTCAGGAGACTGTGGCTACCGTTTATGATGATGGGGACTTGGGCCACAAGTGCTGGTGAGGGGCGCGTACGGCATCCTGAAGCCATTAAATTGTGTGCAGAAAAAATGTTGTGTTGGCACATGCTGCGTCATAAAGATGTAAACCTCGATGTATTTCCAGCAATAAGAAAAGCTCTTGTCCTGGGCTCATCCGAGAAGCAATCA